TTACGTCTGAATCTTCTTATGTCTATAGCGGGTACGGAAAGAATGGGCACAATGCCCAACGTCAAATGCTGTCCCACACCAGCAGAGGACTTTGTTGGGCAGGCGGCCTCCTGTCTCAAATGGACACTGTCGGCGGCGGCGCGGACAGCGAGGCCTGTTCAGCATGTGCAGGACTTGGCGTCGGCCTTCGTACAATGGATGCCCACGCCAAGAAACCCCCTGCTTGCCTCCAGGATGCCTGGGTTTCTCGGGTTTCGACGATTTTGCTATGGAAAGCGTGACGCCCCCACACCAAAAAACAAGGGACGCTCTGGGGTCTCAGGGTTGGGCTTCTTGTGGAAGGTTTCTTGTGGACTGGCCTCCACTGTACCCATCCCTCCCGTAACCCACTCCGCTCGCACCGGATGTCCTGTCGGTGGGGGGGCGGGGGGAAGGGGTCAGGAGAGGAAAACACACACAGACACAATAATTATCGATTCCAGGGAAAACATGGGGAAACATGGAAAATGGGGGGAGACGAAAACCAAGAAAGTATGAGAACATACGGGGAATCCCGGGATGGAATTTGTGTAATATATATATATATATGTATGTATATATACATATATATGTGTGTATATATATATATATATATATGTATATGTATATGTATGTATATATATATATATAGATATGTGTGTGTTTGTGTGTGTGTGTGTGTCCCTGGGTCCCTTCAGGGGGTGGGAGGGGGGGGGGGCGACGGCGCGCGCTCGGTGGAGGTAGGTCCCCCGCTCCCGCTCAGGGGTAGCTCGGGTCAGGGCTGACTCGGGTTCGTTTTTCGGGAATCCGAACCCGAGTTACCTCGGGCCCGAGTACCTCAGATCATTCGGGCGTCCAGAGCTCCAAATCATCATGGGGTAACTCGGGCCAGGGCTAACTCGGGTGCCTTTTTCGGGAATCCGAACCCGAGTTACCCCGGGCCTGAGTTACCCCGGATAACTCGGGCGCCCAAGGAGAGGCAGCTCCTTGGAGGTGTCCAACAAGCAAATTCAAAACCAGCGCGGAGGCACCCGCGGTCGATTCCGGCCTAGAGTGGAAACCCATGACAAGAAAGGTAGTCCCCAAACGTGGTGGTGACAACACCTGGCGGTGAGAATCGGGTGATTCGGTGTCACCATCTTGTTTGGGGACTCGTGTGGTTCTCCGAGGATGTCCCGAACGCTGGTGAGTCCAGGAGTCACGACAACCGGCGGTGACCCCGTGTTCCGAATCCCGGCGGTGACTTTTGGGGGATTCCAGGTCACCATTTGGTTTGGGGGTTTCCGCCTTGCTTGCCTCCAGGGTGCCGTGTGTTTCTTGGGTTTCGATGGTCTTGCTGTGGAGGGCGCGAGGTTCCCGCGCCAAAAATCAGTGGACATCCTGGGGTCTCGGGGTTGGGTTTCTTGTGGAAGGTTTCCTGTGGTCGAGCTCCTACTGTGATCTCGCTCCGTCCCGCTGAGTCCGCCCTGCCAGCTGAATCCTGGAGCCGTTCCGGCCCCGTCGGGCTGAACAGCCCTTGCTCGGGCCTAATGGTTTCCATCTTTCTTATTTGGACTACCTGCCAGAAGCTGTTTCCTGACTGTGACGTTGCACCTGCTTCTCCCGTGCTCTCACCCTCCCTCCCCCGCCAGGTCCAGCAGATCCTGCAGGACGGCCCTTTGTGGCTGGGCGGGCGGGCGGGGCGGAGGCCGGACTCGCGCTGCTGCTGCGCCTCGGCACTGGGCCCGTGGAAGATCTGGGCGGGGAGGTGGAGGAGGGGGAGTTTCAGGAGGAAAAGAAACACACAGACACAATTAATTGTCGACTCCCAGGAAAATATGCAAAAATATGGGAAGTGGTGGGGAAGACAAAACCCAGAAAATATGGGAAAATATGGGGGATATTTTTATTTGTGTGTATTTATTTGTGTGTTCCAGGGCCCCTTCAGATTCGGCAGGCTGAAGCGTCGTGCTCCGCACCGCCTTCTGAGGCCCCCCGTCGTGGGGGGCCTCAGGCGTGAAGCGTAAAGCTGAAAAGCAGGTGTTGCGGTGTTTGCATCCCGCCCTGCCCGGAGGCTGAGAACCACGGCGGTCCTGTCTAGCGAGCCTCTGCTTATCAGGGTTGCATGAGCCTCGGGGCACTCAACTAATCATGTGCTAAGGCACGATGGCGGACATGGACAGCGTTTTTGTGACCTCGACGTCATCGTTTTTTGAGGGAGACGTCATTGACGTGCGGATCTCGCCTTCGCACGATTGGCCAAGGACCAGAACGCTGCGGCTCCATTGCTGCCGAAGCGCACCGCCTGTTAAGCGACACCGACCACGCCCAGTTCGTGGAAACCTTTGCCTGCGACACTCTCTATGTGATTTTTGACAAGTATAATTCACCGCTCAAGCGTTGTCTAGGTGTCAGGGAGACCCCGCGGTACCAATCCTTGGACATTCTAGATGCTTTGTGCGCGTAGAGTGCCGTGCGTCTCCGAGCTGTCGAGCGTGGGAGATCGCGAGACACGTCTATAGGACGGGCTGCAGACATGTCGCGGATGCCGCCCCTCGCCAGAGCCCATCCGTGCCGCCGATCCGGGGCGCTCCGGATATTGATGATGAGTATGATGATGATGATGATGATGATGATGATGATGATGATGATGATGATGTTGGTGATGCTGCTGATGATGAAGATTAAGATGAATATGATGATGATTATGATGACGATGATGTTGCTGCTGTTGATGATGACTATTCTTATTATTGTGATGGTGATGGTGATGGTGATGGTGATGGTGATGTTGGTGATTATATTGATGAGTACGATGGTAAGTATGATGATGCTTATCCTGGTAATGGCCATGGTGAAGAGCATGATGATGGTGATGATGACGACGATGATCAGGATTGTGATGCTGGTGATGGTGATTGTGGCGATGGCAGCTGATAATGCTGACGGCGGTGTTGATGTTGATGTTATGAATTGTTAGGGTACTGGGAATGGACGACCGTGTACGGCGTCGGAAATGGCGCCCCCCTCCTGTCCACGGCTCCCGAGCAGCCAACCTCCCCCCCCGGCTCCCGAGCACTGAACGGCGTCGGGAATGGCGTCCCCCCCCACCCCCCCCTGGCCACGGCTCCCGAGCAGAGCAGCGAGCCCCCCCCGGTCCCGAGCATTGAATGGCGTCGGGAAGGGCGTTCCCCCGCCCCCTGTCCACGGCTCCCGAGCAGCGAACCCCCCCGGGCCCCGAGCACGGAATGGCGTCGGAAATGGCGGTCCCCCCCGTCCCCCCCCCCCCGTCCACGGCTCCCGAGCAGCGACCCCCCCCCCCGGCTCCCGAGCATTGAATGGCGTCGGAAATGGCGTCCCCCCCCCCCTGTCCACGGCTCCCGAGCAGCGAACCCCCCCTGGCTCCCGAGCATTGAATGGCATCGGAAATGGCGTCCCCCTCCCCCCCCCGCGCTGTCCACGGCTCCCCAGCAGCGAACCCTTCTCGGCTCCCGAGCATTGAATGGCGTCGGAAATGGCATCCCCCCCTTGCAGAGCGAAGCTTGAGCAAAGCTGGAGCGAGCTCAAGTCCACGCCAGATCGGCGGATTTGACTCGAGCGTGCGGCCACAGTTGCCACCACCAGCAGCGGTAACGCTTCTTCTTGCCAGTCCAGTCGAAACAGACCCACGCAAGCCAGCAACAGTTCATGTTTTCTCCGAGTGTGTGTGTGTGTGTGTGTGTGTGCGTGTGCATACCAAACCTGCAGGAAGAAGGCACATACACCATTTCCAAAGCACGTTGTCCCTTATGTACCCCTCGGAAAACACAGACACCACGCCTTACGCGTCGGGGGAACAACGTACGTACCCGCCCAGCCGGGGGCGAGCGCATGGAGGTGTCTTTGTAGAGTCGAGGTCGGCTCGGGGAGGGTACCCTAGTGTTCTTCGAGTTTCCTGGATGTTATTGTGCACCCTGGGGAGGGATACCCTCGAATGTTCTGCAGATTGAACAGCGGAAGGTCTCATGTCCTTGAAGGATGTTATTCAGTCCTAGGTGCGACTGTAAGCCACGGGTCGTTTCGGCAAGTTCCAGGTCGGACAGTTTGGATTGTATGTTTCTTTACACGTGGTTCGTATGGCCTTTGCACTAGGCTGAATTTCCATTCGGACCATACATTGGGGTCGGAAGGCGGGATGGGTGTCGATGTTTTGCTCCGCACATGCCCTTCTCCATACGACTTCCCCACTCATTCGCCTCCCCTCTCCTGTTACTCGTCCTTCTCGTCCTCCTCGACCTCCTTCTCCCACCTACTTCCCCTCCTCTTGTTCTAGAAGGCCTTCGGAGCACGCCTGGGAGCAGTTGTAGATTGTTTCGGCCAGCTTTGGTTCCGTCTGGTTGCCGCCTGAAGCGCTTTAGAGTTGAGACCAAACGCCAACCGAGGGGAACCATCTGACGCGCGCTGAACATCATTTGGCATGGCAGGGCCCGCTCGCGGCCAGAGTCCTGGATCCTTGTCGAACCGTTTCAAACAATAGATGGCCACACAAGACAATTCTGCGACAACTGGATGGGTTCGCCATTGCGCTGTCATCTGCCGCGTTGTGCCCATCTGTGGCCGGTCCAGTGCCCGTGTGGGAGCGTTTACCTTTCGTCTGGAGGACCTCTCGTTCAGTTTGGGGCCGTGCCGGGCATCGTCCGACCGATTTGAGAACTGCAGCCATCTGGTGCGATAGTTCTGGACAGCGCACAGGACATTGTGTAGGTCAGGGGCTAACCTGATGGGAAAATCGAGGCTACCCGAACGTAATTTAACATTGTTGCTTGTTGTCGGCTTGTTGTTTACTCTTGCTTGTTGACGGCTCCATGGGGGACTCGGGGGGATTTCTTCTGGGCCCTTCAATCAATTGAAGAGAATTGCAGTGTGCCAAATTCCATGTATTGCGCTTTCCTTTTCTGTGCAGTCTGATCAAACACGTCCGTTGTAGTCATGTTCGTTGTCATCTTGCATGCCTTTGCTTACAGCAGGAGATCATCGTCTTGCAGGATCAGATGAAGGCCTTCATAAAGAAATTCACTGACGAGATGGTGAGCAATGTACCCGTCCTGTCGCTGCCTGCCTTATCTATCGAAGGGCCTTCGCTTCTTCGGCGCTGGGCCCGCTCATCAGTCCTTCTTTCCTCTGCTCCTCATCTTCCTTTCTTTGACTCTGCTGCCCCTCGTCATCCCCCCCCCACCTCTTTGCAACCTCATCTCATATTCCTCTTCCCTCCCTCCGCCTCTGCTTCCTCCTCCTTTACCTCGCGCGTGTGCTACCAAGGGCAGATGACCAAGCTTGTGTGTGCTCCTCTTCCCAGCTCCTCCACCTCCTCTTTCTCCGCCTCCTCCTCCTCTTCCTCCTCCTCCTCCCATGCCTTTTCCCAACGTCTCACGTGTCCTCTATTTCGTCCCCCTCCTTCCTCCCACTCTCGCGCTTGCCCTCGTTCGCAGAGCCGTCGCTGTTTGTCCCGCGCCGTAAACTCCGAGGGTCGATAATCCAGGGTCGAGGGTCGATTGACGAGGAGGAGGGGGGGGAGGAGGAGGAGGAGGAGGAGGGGGAGGAGGAGGAGGAGGAGGAGGAGGAGGAGGAGGAGGAGGAGGAGAAGGAGGAGGAGGAGGGGGAGGAGGGAGAGAGGGATCTTGGGGGAAGGGGGCCGAGGAGAAGGTGGGGGAGGGAGTTAGTGCTTGACTTCCCCTCGGACCTTCAAGTCGTACTCCGCACCAGGCTTGTATGTCAAACTTGCTTGAACAGCGTACCTCGGGTTTCTGGTCCTGGGCGGAAGCTCGCCGACCGTCCCTGGGGGAGTTCCTGCCCAGACGGAGGCGGTAAACAAGGTATTTCCCGAGACCCATTGTTTTCTTTGTGGGACACTGAGGACACTGAGGTTCCGGGAGGATCGATGCGGCAAGCTTCAGGTGCAGGCGGATATTGGAGGAAAAAGAAGAAGTAGTTCAAATATGTTCGTAGTCGAACAGTCGTCCCTAGATGTTGTTCTTGACTGCTCAATTTCTCCCTGCAGAGGGACATGCCCGACGTAAGGCGAGCTCGTCCGCCTGTCCCCAGAGCCTGTTTTTCTTTAGATCCGGGCAAGTTTACCTGCATGGCGTTCTCCCCCACCCCCCCTCGGCCCTCGTCAATCGAATACGAGCGTGCAAGTGCCTCTCGGCTTGCGTGATTTCCGCACGTCAAGCTGTTGTCGGCTTGCTTCAGGCTCAGGCCCCCCACCGTCCATGCAAGTACACGCCGGTCGTTGAAAGTAGATATTTTTGGATTCCCAGATCCGAATCTATTTCAAGCGCCTTCCTACTTCAAGGATCGACATGCCTTTGCTGTGTTTTGTTGTTCTCTGGGAGGACCTGGACCCAATCCACTATATCCGCCTTCCTACTTCATGTTTCTACCTACTTCCCACCGACGAGTAACCTTGCCCGAATCCCAAACGAAAAACACGCCCCCGTGGCCATCTCCCAGCCGGCCGGCGAGCCCGCGGCGTGCCTCGGCGCCCCGGGCCCGCGGCGTGCCGAAGACGCCAGTGCAAACGGTGGCGTAGGGCCGTTCGGGGGCCCCCAGTCGGAAGCCGGGCAAGGGCTGCTAAATCTGTGGCTGCTAAAATCGACCTCCGGGAAGTTGTCTTCGTCCTTCCGGGAAGAAGCCCATTGACTGTTTCGCGTGCCGCGCGCCTCCTTCCGGGAAGTTGGTTTTTCCTTCCGGGAGGGCCGTTTTAGCAGCCACGATTTTAGCAGCCCTCGCCCAGCTTTCGACCCAGACGGGGTGGTGAGCGCACCGTGCGGTGAGTCGCTGGGGATTCGGGGTCGCCGCACGGTTTTGGGCCTCGGGTCGTTCTCCGAGGGTGCCTCGGGCGACTGGGGCAGCCGAGGTCCCAAAGCCGTGCGCTGACGGACCGTGCGGTGAGGTTTTGGGGGACTTCGAGGTCACCGCACGGTCCGTCGCCGCACCGTTTCGGGCCGCGCGGGCGGGGGGCGGCCGAGAGTGCTCCTCGCGGCGCGGCCGTCGGCCTCTCGCTCCCTTTTCTTTGTGTTTTGTTATTTTTGCTTGCTTTGGCTCTGAGGAGTAGCGCTGCCACAAGAAGGGGTCAGGGAAGGTCAGGTGGAGCAAAACGGGGTGCGGCTATCCGAAGGGAACGCGCCGTGTTGTTATTGGAGAGGCCTGACGGCCGGTGCCGCCGACCCTGATCGAAAGGGCTAGGAGTGGGGGGAGGAAGCGGAGGATGAGGAGGAGGAGGAGGAGGAGGCGGAGGAGGAGGAGGAGGAGCAGGAGGAGGAGGAGGAGGAGGAAGAGCAGGAGGAGGAGGAGGAGGAGGAGGAGGAGGAGGAGGAGGAGGAAGTGCATCCTTTGTGTGCCCGCTCGAAGAAAGTGCGCCCCGGGAGTGTGATATTCTGACTTGGGACGTGCTCCCGGAAGAGGAAGTTCATCTCGGCGTGCCCGCTCGAGGAAAATGCGCCCTAGGGGGGTGGCATTTTGACTCGGGGCCCGCTCCCGGGACGCCTCTGCGGGAGGAGGAGGAGGAGGAGGAGGAGGAGGAGGAGGAGGAGGGGGAGGAGGAGGGGGAGGGGAAGGAGGAAGAGGAGGAGGAGGAGGAGGAGGAAAAGGAGGAGGAGGAGGGGAGCAGGAGGAGGAGGAGGAGGAGGAGGAAAAGGAGGAGGAGGAGGAGGAGGAGGAGGGATGAGGAGGAAGTGCATCCCGTGCGTGCCCGCTCGAGGAAAGTGCGCCCCGGCGGGCGTCGTATCTGCCCCGCCCCCCCCCCCCCCCTTGCAGGGAAGGGATCAAAGGGAAGGGGCTTCCCTTCGACTCCACTACGACGTCGTTTAATTTCGCTTTGGATAGCGCGCTTGGGGAAGAGAGCCCTGGGAGGGGGAGAGCGGAGACGACGGAGACGACGAGTCGAACGGAGAAGCCCCTTACACACGCCGACGGGGTCGGCGGATTTTTGTTTGTCTTGGTTTTGAGGAGTAGCGCTGCCACAAGAAGGGGTCAGGGCAGGGAAGGTCAGGTGCAGCAAAACTCAGGAGGGGAAAAAACACACAGACACAATTAATCGGCGATTCCCAGAAAATATTGGAAAATATGGGAAGTGGGGGGAAGACAAAAACCCAGAAAATATGGGAAAATATGGGGGATATTTTTATTTGTGTGTATTTATTTGTGTGTCCCAGTTCCCCTTCAAAAACGGAGTGCGGCTATCCGAAGGGAACGCGCCGTGAAGAGCAGCGGCGGGGAGGGCTTTGCGCCACCCTCGGCCTCCGGGCGCCCGTGGCGGGCCTCGGGGCCCCGCGCGGCGGAGGCAAAGCGGCGGGAGGTTTCCCGCGGTTTTCGGCCTCCGGGGGCCCTCGGCGGGCTTCGGGACCGGCAAACATCGACATCATCTTCCCTCCTCCTCCTCCTCCTCCTCCTCCTCCTCCTCCTCCTCCTCCTCCTCCTCCTCCCTCCTCCTCCCTCCTCCTCCCTCCTCCTCCCTCCTTCTCCTCCCCCTCCCTCCTCCCTCCTCCTCCTCCTCCTCTCCTCCTCCTCCTCCTCCTCCTCCTCCTCCTCCCTCGCCATCCTCCTCCCCTCCTCCTCCCTCTCCTCCTCATCTCCCTCCTCCTCCTCCTCCTCCTCCTCCGACGCAGGATGAACAACTGGTCCCGGGGAAGGGGTCCAGACTTCTGGGGTCGACGCTACGAAAAAAGACGACGTCGGGGTCTGGGTCCAACGTCTCCGTCTCGCCAGCCGTCCGCGCCGATCTTCGTCGCGGGGCCTCGCGGCCCAGGACGTCGCTCGAAGAAGAAGAAGAAGCAAGCGCGAGAAGCAAACGACTCCTTCTCCTCCTCCTCCTCCTCCTCCTCCTCCTCCTCCTCCTCCTCCTCCTCCTCCTCCTCCTCCTCCTCTTCCTCTCGGAGGAGGAATCAACTCCATAAACATAACCTTTTGGCGTTCCGCGCGGATTGCTTGAGTCCGCGCTGGGGCCCCCTGGCGGCGCCTCCGGCGCCGCCCACGGCGCGCTCCGCGCGCCAGGGAGGGGGGTCCAGCACAGATCCTGGGAGGGGGTCCGTGCGGACATCCAACAGTTTATGTGTATGCCGTTTTTCCTTCCTCTGTTCGCCGCCCCGTCCTATACGACGCGCAGACGGCCCCTCGAAGGTGCCGCCCGAGCGTTCTTGTGACCCGAGGCCCCAACCTCCTCCCCTTGAGCCGTCATCGTATACCGAATGATTGGCAGTATTGTTGGGAGGGGGCCTAGGGCAGGTTTCCAATGTCCCAGAGCGTTCTGGAACACTCGCAGAGCGTCCCGGAAAGCTCTGGGACGGCCGTGGCTCCCGATGCATCTTTTGGAACCGCTGGAGGAGAAGGGGGAGGAGGCGGAGGAGGAGGAGGAGGAGGAGGAGAAACATAATCCCGCTGTATCCTTGTCCGATTGGGTGCTTGCCGTGGCTTCGGCCCCTCCCTCTGCACGCCCCGCGCACCGATCGTCCGCCCGCAGATGCCTGCCTGCCGAGGTACTGACATTCGAGCAGACCTATCTCCGAGTGAAGCAGGCGCCGCGGGGGGGCACCAGCGGCGTGGAGGCGGGGGGGGTGATTCAGAGCCCCGAGTCATCAGGGCTGGGGGCGGTCAGTAACAGCTACGGAGTCGCGCCTCGGAGGCCCGAGCCAGAGTTACTCTGGACCGCAGTTGTCTCAGCGGGCGTCCAATCCTCCCGAATCATCAGGGCGGGGGGCAGTCAGGGGTAACTTCAGATTCGCGCCTCGGAGGCCCAAACCGGAGTTGCCCCGGACCGCCGCTATCCTGGATAACCCGGGAGTCCAAGCTATCTTTGGCATCGCGCGGACGTCTTTTTTCCCCGGCGAGGACCATCGAGGGGCATGGCCGAGCGAGCGCGCCAAGCGAGGGACGGCGGCCGGGAGGTGGGGGAAAGGTTCGCGAGAGGCATTTTCCCATCGACGATGGCGTGTTTTCCCAGAGTGGAGCTTGAGCCCCAGCTCCGCTGGATTGACGAGCGCCCCTCGGGGTATTTAACGGGGCTCATCTTCAGCGACGGCTCGGCGATGTGGCCAGGTCTTCCAGGAGTTAGTCGAGCTGGATGGCCACCTGGTGCAGGTAGATCGATTTGGAGCTGTCCTGCATGCGGCCTACGGGCCAGTCCCTTTCAAGTTCGGGCCTCGCCAGACCTCGAAAGACGGCGAGGATTTCGCAATTCGTATAATGACCTATCTGTGGATGGGGCCTTTTGAGCTCTACCTGGATTATCAGGCAACCCTGGCTGTCCCGAAAAAAGGGCCGGGGGCCGGGGGTCGAGTCGGGCGCTCCGACGGGCCACTTGTGGGGGGCCTTTCTGGGTGGCTTTCGAGGCCTCGGATATCCATGCGAATACAACACTAGCGCATGCCACCTCGTCAGACATAGATGCTGGCCGCTCGTCTTGGTGGGAGCGCAGCGCGAATCGCAGTGCAGATGCCTATGCAAAAGCTGGAGCCATGATTCACGGCATCGCGGAGGATGATGCCAATTTGTTCAGAGGCTTCAAAGCCCTAGCTGCAGAGTCGTGCAGATGGGCTGGGAGGTTGGAAGTCCCCTTGTCGGAAGTCTCCGCTGTGCGCAAGGACACGGTTGGTCTCTCCGCCCCAGGCGTGGGGCTGGCGCCCGCTGGCGATTGGCATGCTGGCCAGGGTAGGGAGCCAGAGCCAGGGCAGGGGCAGCAGGGCGTCGGCGAGCCCGCACCCCCGCCAGATACGGAGGAGGAGGAGGAGGAGGAGGAGGAGGAGGAGGAGGAGGAGGAGTCTGTTGCCGAGGGGGAGGAGGAGCCGATTCAAGAGTGTTGGGAAGGCCGGCTTCCGACAGCCTTTTATGTCTACGGCCATGGTCTCGTGAAGTGTAGAATCGAGAACCTTTCGCGCGAAGGCTCGTCGATTTTTTTCTGCATACGTTGCGGTGCGTGCGGCTCCGACATTACGCGAGAGCGCTGCAAAGGGAAGCCTGCGAGTCCAGGGGTAAAGAGCCCGATGACTAGAGTTCGTCGTGGTCAGCATCCCCACTATCGTGCCACAGCCAAGTCGCTCGTGCTCGGCTCCCCTGGCCAGTTGAGCGCGTGTGAAAGAGCTGAGGCCGAGCGAGAAATTGTACCAAGCCTCCATGTTGACCCAGATGCGAGGCCTGAGCAGGCCGTCTGGGTCCCAGGCTTCGCTTCTAAAGCGTTGGTGCTGGCCTGCTTCGGCATCGACGAGTCCGAGCTCCCGACGGGGTCGTGCCCTGGGGCAGCATACTCTTAGCGCGTCCGACGATTCGGCTGATGAGTCGGAATCGGACGGCGCTCTGTTGTAATTTGCTGCGCTGTCCGCATTTATGGCCGTCCACCACCACCACCTCCTCCTCCTCCTTCTCCATTATTCCAGCCGCTGTCCCGGCTCGAGGGGCACTGGGTGCAGTTAACTGGTAACTGCGAGCCCCTCACCTCCGGGACTGCTGCTAGACGCGCCGTCTCTGGCAGCCCGCCATAGTGCTGCCTCGCGGCCGTGCAGGCCCCGTGCGCCACGCGGGGCGGGCGTGTGAGCCCGCGTGGCACCGACGGGCCAGGGCGAGCCGCTCGGTCGCCCGCGTCATTCTCCGCCTTGCGGCGGCCAGGAAGTTGCTACAACGTCATCACAGTCGTCAGCCACGCGTGCCCGCTCGGCCAGAACCCATGGTAAAGTCATCAGTGTCATGGTCTCCACCAGGATTTCCATGGGCATGCTCAGTGTGTTTCTGCTCCAACTGGCACGAGCGGGTGGATTGCCGTCAGTGTGGCACGCAGAAGCCCGAGATGCCGCCGTGGCGCCGCCCTGCCCGTCGCTCAGACAGTGCTCCTCCCGCTCGAGATGCGGCCCGTGGCAAGGGCAAGGAGCGGGGCAAGGGCAAGGGAGGGAAGGACAAGGCTGTGCGTGCACTGCGCAATGCCTCGCCGTCTCGCGGTATCCTCATCAACGACAAGGACAAGGACAAAGAGAAGGACCAGAGTTTCTTGCAGCAGGAGTCTGGGACCTCGACGTCCGACGACTACAGGTCTGCCAAGGACCTATTGCACATTCGGCCCGCACTACCACAAGATGCGCGCCAACATCCACGGTGGAGGGCGCCGCCTGGGGCACAGGCGTCAGACGCCGAGGTGGAGGCTTACAAGGAGCAGGTCTCGGCGAGACCCGAGGCCTTGAACACGATTATCCTCGACAGGCTCGATGCTTCCGAGGACTACGACGATGCTGTGCTCGAGTTTGCCACGACGCTGACAATGCTATTCAGTGCGGGGGGGCTCAAGGCCTAGCTTGGCAAGCAGGAGGAGCGAGCCGAGAAGCGCTTGCAGAAGGCTCAGGATGTCCTGGACGACTTGCAGACGCAGGTGAAGCAGGCCAACATCGATGTCGAGACAGCCCGTCGCGATCTCGAGCGCATGAACAAGACGATCACGGAGCTCAAGAGCCTGATCACGGCCGAGGCGGAGGTTGCCAAGCGTGCGGCCGATGCCCAGCCGAGCCCTGGGCTTGGCGCTGCTGGGACGCATGCAGGACCTCCTACGGCCCCTGGTGCGCCTGCGGCTCAGGGCGGGCCTGCGCCGTCGCTCACAGCGCTTGGGGCGTTGGCGGCACACCAGGCCCAGATTGGCCATGACGGCGCAGCTGCAGGGCTTCCAGGGCGTCATCCACCAGCTGCAGCTACATGCGGGGGGAGGTCTGGACACCCCTGTGCCACAGCAGCGCGTGTCGCGGCGGAGGCGAATGGCGGTGCCGCGGCAGGAGCGGCGGCGGCTGGCGCAGCGGCGCCGGCAGCCCAGGCACCTCCCGCGACGGGCGCACCCGTCCCTGCGCCCGCGGGCGCGCCCCCGCCAGGGGCTCCTGCGGCAGCTGCGGAGGCGGAGGCTGCCACGGCGTCGGCGGCTGCGGCGGGCGGTGCAACGGCACGCGCAGGCAGCCGATCGCCCAGGCGCGAGACGAGCCTGCCACGCCAGGACGCCCGCCGCAGCGCCAGCCAGCAGAGGGAGCCCAGCCGTCAGCGTGGGCGGTCGGGAAACAAGTAACGGCCGCTGCTCAGCCTGGAGGCCCTGACGACCCTCGTGATCCTCATCTGACCTCCTCTGACCAGTGGCCGCGAATCCAGGCCCGAGATTTTGATTTTCTACTTGTCATAGCTGCCGTTGAGTCGATTCGACGGCCTTGGCCATTTCAAGTTCATCAGCTGTGTGAGAGTGCTTTGTCAGAGTACCTCCACCCAGCCACTGTGGAGGTGCTGCAGCAGCATGTACCATACCTCCCCCTCCCCCCCATCTCGTGTCCTGATCTATACTGATGGAACAGGTGGGGCGCAGCGGGCTGATATCTCGTTTGTTCCTGCATCGGCAGTGGTTGTTGTGTATGAGTGCTGTGATGGTTCTCGTGCGCTCAAGGGAGTGATCTCGGACCTGGTTCCCGAGGATGTGATGGGTTTCTTCCCCTCCAACTTCCACTCTGACACGGCTGAGACTCTTGCGGCGGCCTGGGCCCTAGCCTGGATTGCACAGGCTGACTTGGGCAACATACCTATAGTGCTGGGGCTGGACTCGATGCGGACTCCTTGGGTTGTGAAGGGCACGAACAACTTCGAGGTGGACAACTCTGGGCTTTTGTGCCCCAGGTCCCTGGCCCAGTTCTTGTCGGTCTCCTGTGCCTTGGATGGGGATCACGTTCATAGTCATACGGGTGAGGGATACAATGAACTCGCTGACACGCTTGCGCGGCTGACGGGCATGGGCCTGATGCCGGGCATGGAGTATATGCCGTTTGCTTCTCTTCTGTTTGACTCGTCTGCTCTTGCGTGGGCGTGGCTATATGAGGAGAACGCCATAGGTTTGCCGTCCATCACAGAGTCTAACGCCTTCAGGGTCACAGATGTGGCGTCGGAGGGGTGCCAGGTCCAGGATGTGATCGGGGTCCACTGCATCGCAGATGTTGCCCCCTCCCAGGACCTGAGTGCATGTAAGTTTGGCGTGGCCAACGTTCTGACCCTCCATGGGCTCCCAGAGGTGCACGAGTGCTCGCAAGGTCAGCAGGTCCCCAAGGCTCCTGGAGGCCATCGGCTTGAATGCCCCTGGGCGCATCACGCCTCTGGCCAAGCAGTTTGCGACAGCTCAATATCACATACTTGGGGTTCTGGAAACGAGGCTCCAGGCAGCCCTTCCCAGGAGGGTCGGGGGCTACATGATGTATTATTTCAGGTGTGCTGACAATGATCCTGATGGCGTGGCTATCTGGATCAACGCCGAGCTGCCCGTGAAAGGCACCAAACCAGGGCGCCAACACATCGTGCAGCACTATGTCGATGCGAGTCGGCTTGTGCTACGCTTTCACGTGCCTGGGCTGCGTCTGCTGCTTGTGGCTGCTCATGCCCCTCACTGCGCGCGTGAGGATGTCGCCATGGTCGAACGATGGTGGCTAGATGCGCATAGTATTGTATGAGGATTGTTCATGCCTGGTGTGCACCCAGTGTTTCTTCTGGGTGCCAATGCAGGGGTGGGGCCCCAGTGTTCACCCTG